CACTAACATACACATCCGAATGTCTGACTCAACTGGGCAGCTGCTTTACGACAGCGCCGGCGACTCGTTAAAAATTAGCTTAAAACGCAAAATACAATTGGCATAAAAGAAAGAAACAACAACACAAGAGAGAAAAAAATTGAAATGTTTATATTTAAATATACAGCGAGCAGCTGTTTTGCACTGGCAAGGCATTGCCACACTCACACATACATACACGTTCGCTATTGAGACCCCTACTGACCTCGCCTAGTGCCGCGTAATCTTTGCCTCTCTCTCCCTCTCTCATTCCTCCACAATTTACTTTCGATGACGGCATTTCTGCTAGTTTTTAAACTGTGCCGCGCATAACAGTAAATGTATAGAAAAATACTGTTTAGTGTATGGTTTAAAAATAGTACTAAAATTAATGCAGCCGAACACTTGCTCTCTCCCACTCTCGCGCTCTCTAATTTTGACTCTATGCCGATGTTGTCACCCATTATCGTTTTTGCGCGTGAGTGTGAGTGTGTAGAAAACACATGTTTGGCGCCCATTGTTGTGGGCGCGCACCAGCTGAGTGTAACAGAGCGAGTGCGAGCGAACCAAGACCTGTGGGTATCGCTCTCTCCGTCTCTCAGCGTATGTATGTGTGTATGTAAGCATCAATGCCGGCAGCACTGTGGTAGCCGCAGCTGTTTTTCTGCTTTGCGCATACTTGAATACATGTGTGTGATTACGCGTGTGTGTATGTATGGATGAGTGTTTCGCCAAAAACTTTTGCAAAAACGAGCCAAAGCTGCAACGTGTGCGGCCTTCTCAAATTCCGTTATGATTTTTTTTTCTATGCAATATAAATTGTTCGCTTGTGTGTGTGTGTGTTGCTAATTTTAGCGAAAAATTCGGCATGCAGAAGCTCAGCGCTATGAAAAATGCTAATGAATCGCAAAGCAACGTTAGATACGAGTTCGCAAAAAAAAAACCGCAGACCATAAACGGAAGGAGAATTAGTAGTAAAAGAGTGGAGCAACATGGAACTACAATCTTAATGTCAGCTGACTTGATTTCTTTGCTAACTGTGCTCTCGCCCCCCGCACCCAGAAAGCAGATGACAAATTTTAGCTGCCATCACACACACATCTACAGACACATTCCGCTATTTCTACGGTTTACATTTAGTCATGCTCTCGCACTCACACACCTGTCGTTGGGCCGGCCACTGAGAGAATAGAAGAGAGATAAGCGGCGAGAACAAACAGCGCTAATTGTTTGCCGCCAACAAAACGTGCGACGCAATAGAAGCGAAAAAATAGGTAAAAGCAAAAGCAAATGCAAATGCAATTGATGATAAGAAATGCCCAAACTAGGTTTTACTACATACACATTTCTTAGAAGAAATATAATATCGATCAATTTGAGTTGCTGATATACATACATACATTCATATGTCTGTATTTATCCATGTATGTATATGTATGTACATACATATCTAGTAATTAAAATCAACTTAAATTTAGCCCATTGAAATAGATTTTTTTATATGTTTATTTATGTTGGGCCATGCTTGTACGCACGTAGGCCACACAGCTGCCCCAAATGTAAGGGGGCGAGGCATTTAGCTTTTTCCCTGCATTTATGGTGGTTGCTTTGCTACTCACACCCATGCACATAATACATACATACATACATATATAGATACATATGTATGCCGTAGTACAACTGCCAACTCAGCTGATGGTGACGAATCAGCAGCAGTTGGCGGGCTCAATTGCAAGTATTTTCGGCTATTTTTATGCATTTTATTCAATCAACAAAAAATACAACAAAATTGTATCGTAGGGCCGCAAGAAGAACAGCAGCAGCAGAAGCAGATACAGGGGCCGCCTCGCCGTCAGACGCGCCATTTATAGAAACGAAGCAGACAGCAAACAACAACAGCAGCGAGTCAGCTGCTGCTGCTGCTGTTGCTGTACATACATACACGTTTCGTATCGCGCTAAAGAGAGACAGAGAGGGCGAGAGAGCGCGCGTGTATTTCCAATACAAATTGGAAGTAACTGGAAGCATTAAGAGAACAACACACGTGTTTACGTTGACGCCTAAATGAGTGTGGAGCGTAAGAGTGAGCAAGTGGCGTCGGCAAAAGCTTAAGTCCACATGTTTTTCGCCACAGCCGCGGCTGCTGCCGCTGTTGCTGCAGTACATTTCCGTTTCAAGCAAGACGAAACGAAACGAAACGATATGGCAATGAAACTTAACGAAGCCGCGCTCTCGCTCTCCCTGACTAGCGTGTGTATGTACATGTGTATGGGAGAGAGAGAGAAAGAGCGCAGCACGCTAGCAACATTTGTGACGCCGGCGAATATTGAAAAACTTTTCGTATTGGAACTGTTGCTGCCGCTGCTGCCTGCGCTTGTTTGGTGGTGTGTTTTATGTAGCGGCCGTGTTGGAAAAAAGTACAGTCGCCGCAAAAACGACGCCGCTGCCTGCGCGCAGCCGTTTGCTCTGCTTGTTTGGCTGGCTGACTGTCTGGTTGGTTGTTGGTTGGTTGGTTGGTTGGTTCGTTGGTTGGTTGCTCGCTCGAACGCGTTGGCTGGGATTCTTGTTGGAACAGCACCGAGTGTCTCGCGCGCGCGTCTAATCGGCTTTTTGTTTACACTCACACCAATAGCACATCAACGTATGTGCATGTGTGTGTGTGTGTGCGATTGCCTGCTGTACAGCTGTGGCTTTTATTTATTTTTATTTGTATTTTTTGTGCTTGGGGCATTCTGTGTACAGCTTTTTTTTGCCGGCATTTTCCGACTGCGTCGCTGATATGACGACGACATTTTCTTATTAGCCAAGGCCTTAGTTGCCGGCCTAACTGCAGCTGCCAGCTGCCTGATGGGCAACATATTTTGGCAGAAAAGCTTCGTTTTATATGAAAATATTGCGGACTTGGGCTAAGTGCCTAACGTTTTCCAATTGGTTTATTTTGTTAGCCAAACTTTGCAAAATGTTAAACTCATTCTAGACGAATTCTTATTGGGCTACGTTATGATGTAATTAGACTTATTAAAAGCTTTTATTACACAATGTGACTTAACATAAAGTATTAGAAACCAATTGTATGCATTCTAATAAGAATTTCTCAATTTTTTCGAAATAAAAAAAATAAGCAAATGACATTTCTAATGCGCAGTTTTTAAAATTTATCTACATATATACATATTTTTAAAAATTTAAATCGCAAACTTAATTTATTATTTATTAACTTATTATCTTTCCAATTTGCAAATTTTTCTAATTCTAATTGCTGCAGCTTTCCAATGCTTGGCTTGTTTCCAATACGCTTCCAATATAAATCAGAATAAGTCAATGAACGGCCTTTGGTAGCCGACAGCAACAACAGCAATATATGCAACTAAGTAGAATAAATTAACATGGCGCAAAATAAATGCAAAATGTGCTTTATTATGCTATTTTTTTTAACATGAAATGTGCGCGCGACATTGCGCTGATTTTTATCACAGCAAAGCTGAGAAAACTGTACTCTGTCGCTAACTCACTCATACTCTCTTTAACTGTCTCTCTCTCTCTCTCTCTTTCTCTCGCCCTCTCTCTATTTACAACATATCAAAACAACGTAATAGCTTTGCCCAGACAGCTGTGCATGAAGCAGAAGGCGATGGCAGAGACTGAAGAGTTATAGAGCGCGAGAGAGAAAGAGAGCAGTGTGCAGCAGCTGTGTAGCCGGTGTCGTGAGCTAGTTGCTATTGCTGTTGTTGTTGTTGTAGTAGTGACCTCCGACAACAAGCCGCATGTCCAGCAGAAATTGTGAAACAAGTTTTATGGCTGCATCCAGCAGCAGCAGCAGCAGTACCAACCACAACACAGATTTATTATATTTTAATCAAAGCCAATGCAAAAGAATTTCCACAAAGCTTCTCGCATTCCTGTGCCATGACTTTGCTGTGCTGCGCTGTGTTGCTCTGCTCTCATCTGCTGCGCTGCTGCGGCTACTTGCATTCCTTTTGGTTTTTGCCAGAGTGTTTTTTATTTATATTTCTTATGGTTTATATTGTCTTGTCTTGTTTTTATCTCCTCATATTTTACTCTTTGCGCCTACGTTGCTTTCTATGCCAGTTTGTACCGTTATGCGTAGCCCACGCATATTTGCAGTGTAGGCAAACATGTAAAAGAAACTCAAAAATGCGCAAAAACAACTTTTCGCATACACACAAATGCAAATATGCTGCATATGCATGTGCATGTGGCGGTATGTGCATGTGTATGTGTGCTCTGTTTGTGCTGAGAACGCGCATATTTTGAAGGACACAAGTTCCTTAACCTCTCTCGAACCAGCAACACTGCAGAACACAACACAGCTCAGCATAAGTAAAGAAAACGAAGAAGAGACAGAAACAAAAACAACAGAAACCCAAACAACAACTGCAACGAGAGATTTACTACACTATTTACTATAAGCGCTTCCACTACTAATGCAAATTCCAGTACATTCAGATTTTATGTATCCATGCAATTTAAATACAAATTTGTGTCTGTGTGTGTGTATGTTTTTGCGGTAATTATCAAAGCTTGCCTGCTCTCTCGCTCTTACTCTTTTGGTAATTATGCTGCGCTGCTCTGAGCTCTGCTGTGACGTCTTGTGAATGAGTTTCATTGTTAAAAGAGCAGACGACGGCTGTTGCTGTTAGTGTGTGCAGAATGTGTATGGATGATAGAGTGAGAGTGGTTGGAAGAGGGGCTGAAGTGACAGACTGTCTGTGGCGTTTACACGATGAAATTGAGTTATGCAAATTTTGAATACGAAAAAGGAATATTAGATTTTCAATATAAGAGTAGAGACCATAAAAAATGATCATTTTAACTGCTTCACAATGTCCTGATTCTCGTCCATTTATCCTTGCAATTTTCTTATTCTGGTAAATAAGACAAAGTATATAAATATAATTTAATTTAATGTGAGCAAGAAAAGGATTACTAATGTCCTTTTTCTCTTCTATTATTCCTTGCAGGCTGCCATATTGCAACAGACCTTCCAGTATATTGTCGATCTGGAGAATCAGAAAACTCAGCTGCTCACACAGAACAGTGAGCTAAAGCGACAAGTGGGCGAGCATGAGGCACATGGAGGTAGTGGAGGAGGCGGCTCCACTGGCGACAACTACAACAGCGGCGGCAATGTTAACGAATCGAGCAACAACAACACAAGTTCTTCGAGCGCCGTGGCGATTAAGAAGCGGAAGCTGACAGACAACGTGATCAACATGCAAACGATTAGCGATAGCTCCGATGAGGGATTAGGATCCATGTCCCCGGAGCCAATGACCCTGCTGACAGCCGGCGGTGGYGTGGCTGGAGCAGCAGCAGCAGCTGGCAATAAGTTGAGCAATGCGAGCATCATTGCGGCCAAGGAGCTGCTCGAAATGAAGAAGCAGCTGGAGAAGGAGCGCAGCCTGCGACGCCTGCTGGAGGATGAGCTGCAGATGATCAAGCGACAGCTCTACAGTGTGGCAACAGCACCGCCCGGTACAGCTGTGGCCGCGGCCGTCGCCAACAGCGGGAGCAGCTCCTACATTCCAAGGGAAGTCATCGAGCACACGGACAACTTTGTGCGCGCCGATGAGCTGGAGGAGCTGGGCGGCACCGTTTCGTACGTGGAGATCGACGAGATGACTGGCCAGCAGCAGGTGGTCGTCTGCTCCAGCATTGAGGAGCTGGAAGGAGATGCGGCAGCCGAGATCATTAGCGAGGATCAGGTGCACGAAGAGGTGATACTCTCCTCCAACTCCTCGACCGAATCGGAGAATGAGGTGAACGTGAATGCCATTGCCAAAGCCTATGCCGAGGGCATGAGCACTCCCATTCTCCAGGCGGCCATCAAGGCGACGCCCAAGGTGGAGGTGGAGCGCATCAACGAGAAGATCGTCAAGGTCAAAACGGAGAAGTTGCACGATCAACCTTCGGCCACCGCGATGTCCACGACAACGACGACGACGGCAGTCTTCACACGCTCCCGCCAGAATCTGGAGACCATTGTGGAGGCCATACGGCATCTGGAGGGGGATCATCTCTTTGACGGCGACCAGCAGCACAAGCTACAACAGCAGTATCAACAGCAGCAGCAGCAAACCCAACAGCAACATCAGCAACACCAGCAGCAACAGCATCAGCAGCAGCAGCAACATCATACGCAGCAGCAACATCATCAGCAGGATGTACTGCATTCGCATCATCAGATCATTAGCACAGCCGCTGGATATCGTTTGGCGCAGGATGCGCCGTTGGCTCTGACCACGGGCAAACAGCACGCGGCGCTGGCCGAGCTGCGACCCTTTCTGCAGCTGAAGGGCAACAAGCAGGTGATCATCACAACAAAGTCGGCCAAAGATGTTGTGGGCACACCCTCGGGCACCATCTTCAAGGTGCAGACCAGCAGCGGGACAGCAACGGCGTCTGCAACAGGATCCACATCAGCAGCGGGCGGATCAGCGAGCCATCATCATCAGCCGGTGACCATTACAACATCATTGAAGCAATGTCGTCCAGGTGTCATTGTGGCCAAGCAGCTGCCGTCGTCCTGATTGCCTAGCAGCAACACTTGCAACATCAGCAGCAACATCAGCAGCAACAGCAATAGCAACATTAACAGTAACAATGTTCCTCTACACATTGAAGCGTCAGCAAAAGCTCCCGCTAGTATTAAAAGCCTGCGCAATAGCATAACAGTAACAGCAGCTCCAACAGCAACAAAGACCGCAGCAACTGTAAAGCTTGTAATGCCTAAGCGACGCAATTATGTTAAGCCACAACAGCCGCATGTGCAACAACAGTATTGCCTTAACAAAGCTGTCAAGCGTCAATGAATTTAACAGCTGTTGAGCTAACAGAGTTCAAATGTATAGTTATAGCTGTTAAACTGCTGCCAATATAGATCTAGCAGCGTTAAGCTGCTGCTGCTGTTGTATATAGCTGTTAAGATGCTGCTAATAGTAAACAATTTAAGCTGCTACTAATTGTAAACTAGCTGTTAAGCTCATACAGTTCATGCTGTTAAGTGACTGTTGCTAACATAACAGCTAGCTGTTGACACAGTTGCTACTGTTAAGCTGTAGCTTAACAAACTTTAGGCTGCTGTAAAACTAAAAAAAAAAAAAAAA